ATACTGAAGGCTGTGGTCTTTGATCTTCATCAGTAAGTGCTTCAAGTCCTCTCGCTTTCAGCAAAGAAGGTTGTGTCATCTGCATATTATAAGTTTTCAGTGAGTCTTAATGAGTTAATGAGTAATTAATTAATGAGTTAATAAGTTCTTCTTCATATAGTCCAGCTTCTCCGATTATTTGTTCAGCATACAGATTGAATAAGTATGGTGAAAGGATACAACTCTGAGGCACACCTCTCCTGGTATTAAACCACACAGTATCCCCTTGTTCTGTTCGAACTACTGCCTCTTGGTCTATGTACAGGTTCCGCATGAGCACCATTAAGTGTTCTGGAATTCCCATTTTTCACAATGTTATCCATACCTTGTTGTGACCCTCAGTCAAATGCCTCTGCGTAGTCAATAAAACACAGTTAAACATCTTTCTGGCATTCTCTGCCTTCAACCAAGATCCATCTGACATTAGCAATGGTATCTTTCGTTACCTGTCCTCTTCTGAATCTGGCTTGAATTTCTAGTAGTTCTCTGTCGATGCACTGCTGCAACCGTTTTTGAATTATCTTCGCAAAATTTTACCTGCATGCAACATTAATGATATTGTTTGATAATTTCTGCATTCTGTTGGATCACCTTTCTTTGGCATGGGCGCAAATATGTATCTCTTCCAGTCAGCTGGCCAAGTAGCTGTCTACTAAATTTCTTGGCATAAACAAGTGAACGATTCCAGCATTGTCTGTGTTTTTAAAACATCTCAATTAGTATTCCATCAATTCCTGCAGCCTTGTTTTTCACCAGTGCCTTCAGTTCTTGATAATATGCTATCTCCTGAAATGGCTGAACATCAACCAATTCTTTTTGGTAGAGTGACTCTGTGTATTCCTTCCATCTTCCTTTGATGCTTCCTGCTTCATCCTATTAACTCCACATTCTGCCTCTTGTGACCATTAGTACAAACGATTTTGTTTTATATTGTACATATGTTCCCTACCCAACTCCCATTAGAATGCTGGGACTGAGTCTTATTCACACAGCACATGTGTCCTGCCCAAAATAATTGTTGGTTAAATTAAGCCAACCAGTCTTCTCTGATGCTTTTGCTGGTTATTCATGCCAAAATCTCATTGTTTTAAATTAACAACATTTCATTTGTATATGATCACCATCAAAACCATCTTCCCCTTTCCACATCAGCTTTCAACATCTACACAATTCCTGCAAGGAAAGGCCTGTATCTACTTCAGTATCTTTTTTTTTTTTTGACTCTATTGTGTCATTTGTTTAATTTCAAGTTGATCTTTATACTTTCCAGATGTGCCTTATGGCATGTATTTATTTTTTTTAACTTGATTTTTTTTTTATTTTTTCCCATACAAAAATTTATACATACATTGTTATGTGACTCTAATTGCTCTCCCCACACTGTGATAGCACACTCCTCCCTTCCACCCCTGAATCCCCATGTCCATTCAACCAGCTCCTAACCCTCTATGCCTTCCCATCTCACCTCCGGACAGAAGCTGCCCGTTTACTCTCTTGTACCTACTTGAGCTAAGAGGCACACTCCTCATGAGTATCACTTTATGTCCCACAGTCCAGTCCAATCCCTATCTGAAGAGTTGGCCCAAGAAATTGTTTTAGTTCTGGGCTGATAGAGAATCCAGGGGTCATGCTTTCCGGGGTTCCTCCAGTCTCAGTCAGACCATCAAGTCTGGTCTTCTTACTAGAATTTGAGTTCTGCACCCTTCCTTTCTCCTACTCCATCAGGGACTCTCTGTTGTGTTCCCTGTCAGGGCAGTCATTGGTGGTAGCCGGGCACCATCTAGTTCTTCTGGTCTCAGGCTGAGGAAGTCTCTGGTTTATGTGGCCCTTTCTGTCTGTTGGGCTAATACTTTCCTTGTGTCTTTGGTGTTCTTCATTCTCCTTTACTCCAGGTGGTTGGGACCAATTGATGCATCTTAGATGGCCGCTTGCAAGCTTTTAAGACCCCAGACACCACTCACCAAAGTAGGATGAAGAACATTTTCTTAATAAGCTTTGTTATGCCAATTGACCTAGATGTTCCCTGAAAGCATGGTCCCCAGACCCCTACCCCCGCTACTCTGTCCCTTAAAGTGTTTGACTGTATTCAGGAAACTTCTTAGCTTTGGTTTAGTCCAGTTGTGCTGACTTACCCTGTAGTGTGTGCTGTCCTTCCCTTCAACTAAGATAATTCTTGTCTACTGTCTAGTTAGTAAATAACCCTCACGATCCCTCCCCATGCTCGAAACCATCAAAGAATGTTTTCTTCTGTGTTTAAACCTTGAGTTCTTATAATAGTGGTCTTATATAATATTTGTCCTTCTGTGACTGACTAAATTCACTCAGCATAATGACCTCCAGCTTCTTCCATGTTATAAGATGTTTCACCGCTTCATCGTTGTTCTTTATCGTCGAGTAGTATTCCATTGTGTGGATATGCCATGATTTGTTTATCTATTCATCCGTTGATAGGCACCTAGATTGTTTCCATCTTTTTGTGAACAGTGCTGCAATGAACATGGGTGTGCATATATCTATTCATGTGATGGCTCTTACTTCTCTAGGATATATTCCAAAGAGTGGGATAGCTAGATCGTATGGTACTTCTATTTCTAGCTTTTTAAGGAAGCACCAAATTGATTTCCAAAGTGGTTGTACCATTTTACATTCCCACCAACAGTGTATAAGTGTTTCAGTCTCTCCACAACCTCTCCAGCATGTACTATTTTGCATTTTTGGGATTAATGCTAGCCTTGTTGGGGTGAGATGATATCTCATTGTAGCTCTGATCTGCATTTCTCTAACGGCTAATGATCATGAGCATTTCTTTTCTTCACGTGTCTGTTAGTTGCCTGAATATTTTCTTTGGCAAAGTGCCTGTTCAAATCCTTTGCCCTTTTTTACTTGAGTTATTTGTCTTTTTGTTGTTGAGGTTTTGCAGTATCTTGTAGATTTCAGAGATTAGATGCTGATAGGATTTGTCCTAGTCAAAAATTTTTTCCCAGTTTGTAGGTTGTCTTTTTACTCTTTTGGTGAAGTTTTTTGATGAGCTTAAGTGTTTGATTTTTAGGAGCTCCCATTTATCTAGTCTAACTTGATGATTTAAAATTAATTTTTGTTCTTTAATTTTCATTGTACTTCTTAGGAATTATCAATAAGATACCTAGTGAAACCAAGGCTGAAACCACTAGGTATGTATATTGGATAGGAAGTACCTAAGACATGTCTATGTCTGACAGTCTGTTCTGAAACGTCTGGGAACCAACAGGAAGAGAAGGAAGGGCCACACAAAAGGCACAAATATCCTCCTGAGTAGCAGATAAATTTTTCAGGTTGCAAATTTTAGGGATTATATCCACATCACAAACTACTCAGGGAGGGCTCCCTAATTCCCTGGATTTGACCAGGATGCCACTGCTTATACTTCTACAGCATTATATATTTCCTCTTTCTTAATAGAGCCCGTATTTATATTATTTGTTCAATGAATGCCTTCCTTACTGGAGTTAAAACTCTTCATGCCAAAGACAATACCTACAACACTATTTAAAAAAACCAAAATGGCTGCCATCAAGTCAATTCTGACTCATGATGACCCCATGTATTACAGAGCAGAACTGCTCCATAGAGTTGTCTTGGCTGTAATCTCTACAGAATCAGACTGCCAGGCCTTTCTTCCGTGGTACCACCGGGTGGGTTCAAACTGCCAGCCATTAGGTTATTGGTCAAGCTCAAACCATCTGCGCCACCAGGGACCTACAGGCCTTCAACAAATATAAATGGATGAAAGTCAGCATTTTAGTGGGTTTCTATACTCTAAAAAAGCTAAGTTGGATTCTTCTTTATAACCCCAGAGGCAAGGAAGCCTTGCCTTTTCTGGATGTCTCACCCTGTCCCAAGTAGCCCCAACAACACAGTGGTAAAGTGCTCAGCTGCTAAACCAAAGGCTGGTGGTTTCAACCCACCAGCCACTCTGCGGAAGAAAGATCCGTCAGTCTGCTTCCGTAAAGATTACAGCCTTGGAAACCCGATGGGGCAGTTCTACTCTGTCCGTTAGGGTCACTGGGGTCAGAATCGACTCAACGGTGACAGGTTTTTTACCCTCACCCAACACAGCTTAGACTGCGACTTTACCGTATTTGTAGTAACAGTCTAATGTCTTGGTCCCATCTCAGGAACCACAGGTATAACCAGCATCATCAGTCAGGGGCTGGTAGACTGTCTCCTTTCTTTGGAAACCAAATGTGCCTCTGATACCCAGTACAATACTCACTGGTAACAAAATCAGCCTTCAATCATTCAGGGGTTGATCACTCAGATCCCCGACTTCTCGGATTTTTTTCCAATCTACTCTGTAGCTTTTGGGCCCCTCAATGGGAAACACACCATCAAAGGTGACCAAAGCAACAGAGGCCAACTCCAGCTCATGAACTGTGACCGGCTGGGAACTATAGCAGAGCACACAGAGGTGGTGGAAGGTTGAATATCTAAATGTTTGGAGAACTTTTCTGATGATTTCCACCATTCTTAATGGCACAGAAGAGACAGTGTGTGTGATCAATAATCATAATTAGCACCTACCATACTGTGATGTGACTATTTTTGTCCTTCTGCTTTCTAAGGTGGCGACGCTATATGGTCCCAGGTCTTCCTCTTACTCAATGTGAATTATGACATGTGATTCTCTCACTCTGAGCCTCATTTCATCATCAGTAAAACGGGAACAATAATCTGACATGTCTGCTTTGAGGATCAGAGCATTTGTTCAGAGAATGAACACGTGAAAGTTCTTCATAACTGTAGAGTCATATTCTAATTTTAGGTTATTGCCAACATCGTTTGCTCACTATCTGAGTTTTACATTAGAGTGCTGTTTTTTCTTGTCAAGGATAGGTGTTTCACAAGGGTTATCGTGATGGGTAAAATCCTGGATTTTTGCACACTAAGCCAGTATACATGTCAAATTCCACATCGGTACTTACCTTGGGAGGTTTCCTTAATGATAGAAACAAAAAATTGTAGCAGCAGACGTAAGGAGGTTGTCAACACAGCAGCCACATCCGGGGGAAGCAATGAAAGAGAAAAAACATAAGGTGGATTCAGCATCTGGATAACATGAGCTGAAAGATACACTACTTCAGGAAGACTGGAAGCCAAATTCAAACACATTACTGCTTGAAGTGGTAAATGCTTATATTTGCTCAAAGATACGGTCTGGGCACAATGCATTTAACAAAATGACTCCATAGTCATTCAGAGACATTTTTAACGATTCTAAGAAACGCCAATGGAAGAGTGTCAAGATAAAGATGGTACAGTCATTATTGCATGTGGTCAAACAAATACTTTTAAATTAATTTTCAAATTTAAAGTTGTTGTCTTAGATTGCATTAAAATGTATGCATATTTTTCTTTGATTACATATACTCTAATTGATATGGGAAGTTTTTCTCATTTAAAAACCATGGCTCTAGATGGTCATTTTCACATATTTCAACCCTGAACAGAAATTGTTAAAACCACATCCTTTCCCCACCAACAACCACACAAGCTTATTTGTTCCCATATATACAGTCTTGTATTCTGCTTTTTCACCTAATATAATGCTAGGAGCATCGCGCATATTTTAGAATATTATTTGAGAGAATTATTTTCACTAAGCCTTTTCACTGACGTAGGCATACAGAAAAGAGCGTACATCGTGATTTCTCAGCCCAATGGATGTTCAGAATATGAACACACCTGCACACATGCACATTTTTAACATCAATTTTCACATATTAATAACTCAGAAATGACTGAAATTACACCTGAAGACAACTCTGAAATGGAAGTAATTTTGAAAGTAGCAAAATATTGACTTGTTCTGTAAATATGTTCCTCACGTACAAAATTAAGGAGCTGAACTACGATTTCTATGTTACGATAGTTCTTATTAGCCTTCCTAATGACATTATCCTTGATCAGCCTTTGATACCATCAATTCACAAGCTGTAAAGTTAGTATGAAAGAGAAATAGGGCAGTTTTTCTCACAGCTTTAATCCTTGTTCACAGGGAACAGAATCGTGGGGATAAGTAAACAGACTGTCCAGGGCAGAGGGCATGGGAAACAAAAGGTAAAGGCAAAAGTAGTATGGTGCCTTTTCTCCGTCACTGGGTCCAGCCCTCCTCACACAGCTCTGGTGACCCCAAACAAAACCCAGAGCTCAGCAGCCAGGAAAGAATTCCCATGGACCCCACAATCAGGTGAACGATTTCACACATCTGAATCCAGGGAAAGAAAATTATGACCTTCCTATAACATGAAGCCAAAGCATCATTTTGAAATTCCACAAATTAGCTGAAGGGATATGAGCCCTCACGTCTTCTGTTATCACCTCAGCCAGCCAGAAACAACGAGAAGGTGATCGTGTTCTAGTGTTGGAGGGGAACCGTATCTAGAATAACCGCTACCTCTGGCTGCTACCAAGCAAGTCTCAACATACTCGTGTGTCTACCTTCCAAATCAGACACTTAGAGATGCTATAATAAAAATGCAAGATTGGTTTTAATTCTAAGAAAGCCATGGATGTCAATTCTGTACATAAAGCTTGAAATTTTGGCCAAGAAAATGTCCTTAGGTGGAACACCGCTCTGGGAGGCATCTGTTCAGAGCAGGTGGGCGTGATGAAAACTTCGCGCACAGCACTTTTGACTAAGTCTTCTCTTATTTTGTTTTCTTTATTTTTAAGAAGCCGTTTAAATAACTTTATTAAACAAAGAAAATGGAAAAAAAGTCACTAGGGTTACAAAAAGGCAACTGTATAAAACAGCATGGGACAACTAGTAAAATATCCATTTCCCTTGTAAGCTGTGATGAACCAAGTTACCTAACGGGGGGGGGGAGTGGGACAGAACAATGGGGGGTGCGTGGGTGGGACAGTCTAATAGGAATCCCAGAGACCTCTCCAGAGTTCTTGTGTGTTTTCTTTCCACACCTCCCCTCCCAAAAAAACCAACTCAGTTGTTGTTGAGTCAATTCTGACTCATGGTGACCCCATGTGTGCAGCGTAGAACTGTGCTCCACAGAATTTTCAAAGGTTGATTTTTCAGAAGTAGTTCACCATGCCTTTCTTCCGAGGTGTCTCTGGTAGACTCAAACCACCAACCATTGGGTTAGCAACCAAATGCATGAACCATCTGTATCACCCAAAGGCTCCCTGTATACCCCAGCTGTCTAATAACCAGCAGCAGCAGCAATGGGTTCAGCCAGCAGTGCATTTACCTCCTTAACCGTCCACTGATCAGACTACGTTTTCTTCATTGATATCCCATTAAGGTTTTCTTTATTCTTCTTAGGAAGCCAGCTCTACGTCAGCACTTTTAGTACTTTTGAAGTGTATTCCTTTCACTTGTAAAGACAGTACATTAGCTGGGAATACCAACGTAATTCTGCTGCCTTCCTTTGTGTTTCTAAGGACTCCTGTTGAGAATGAATGGAGACTGGGTAGCAAGGGAGAAAGGAAGCCACTAAACTCATCAGCTGCTATGCAAATTTACTCATCATTTAGTTTAAAACCAGGATCCTTGCTACTGAAGACAAAGCAAGCCCTCTACTGCATCACCACTTTATTAACCGGCAAACCCTTCCTAACGTGTGATGGTGGGCAGCTAAATCATCCTAAATTCGGAACCACAGTTACTGCCCTAATCCCCAGAGGCTATGTGTCACTCTTCCTTAAGTATGAAGCAAAATGTTTCCAATGTGAGTAATGCCAATACTATAATTAAGTATGATATACTTTGAAAAAAAATAACGTGACATTAGTGTGAAAAAGGATGAATCAGGATGAATACTACAAACATCTATATCTATCAGATTCGACATATCCATCACTGTTGAGTCAGTTCCAACTCAGTGACCCTACAGGACAGAGGTGAACTGCCCCCACAGGGTTTCCAAGGCTGTAAATCTTTACAGAAGCAGACTGCCACATCTTTCTTCCACAGACAGGTGGTGGGTTTGAACCGTGACCTAACAGTTAGCAGCTAAGTACTCAAACACTATGCCACCAGGGCTCCTTAGAGTCAACATAATCAATATTAAATGTATATTTTTAAAATTACGTCCCTTTGTTGATTACATCAGTCAAAGCCACGTTTAGGTCTTTGTCAGGTCCAGCCTATTGTTGAGATACCTGAGTCCAGACAGAGACAATATCCCTGCTAAGCAAATCTCCAGTGAACTGAAAATGTCTCTTCAAACAGACCTCACTGACCCCCAGACAGAGGCTCAGCTGCTGACTCCTTAGAAAGAATATTCCACCGACACTCAGCTTAAGTTACAGGTACTTCTGACCACTCTCCACTGCCCAAAAATGTCTTAGTTTTTAGATATGTGAACCTCTGTAATTTAAAAATATGTATTAGGAGACTTTTTGTGTATTCCAAAAAATTAAACCGAATAGAATTTGACATTCTAGAAGCCAGCAAAGTAATATTTCTCAGTCTTAGAATTTGAAAACAGGAAGTGCAACTTGACGCTGATACTAACTCTTATTTTGCAAGAAGCCGAAGCTTCCTTTCCCTTTCAAGACAAGCAGGCCAATCTCTTCATGCCACTCACAGAATGTGCATTCACCATCCAACTCAGGTAACTGCCGTGCCTTTATCCTGCTTCCCTCTCCCCTTCCGCCTCATCTAATTCCCCACCCTTCAAGACTCAGCTCAATAAGCACGTGAAAATATGCTCACCATTATTAGTCATTAACCCGTAACCCACTGCAGTTGAGTCGACTCCGACTCATAGCAACTCTATGGGACAGAATAGAACTGCCCCATAGGGTTTCCAAGGAGCGACTGGTGGATTCCAACTGCCGAGCTTTTGGTTAGCAGCCAATATCTTTAACCACTGCACCACCAGAATGCAAATAGAAAACACAACGAGGTACCACTTAATATCCACCGGTATGTCTACTATCAAAAAAAACTGGAAAACAACAAGTGTCGGTGAGGATGTGGAGAAAATGGAACCCTTGTTAGTCACTGGTGGGACTGTGAAATGGTACAGCCACTGCGGAAAAAAGTTAAACACAGAATTTGGCAGTTCCTCAAAAAGTTAAACATAGAATTATCATATGACCCAGCAATTCCGCTCCGAGGTATATGCCCAAAAGACAGAGCAGAATTTTAGCACCAATGCATCTGCTTTGCTTCAGAACAGTATGCCTTTTAGAATCTATTTGATTTAAATATATGCTTAATGGCATTTTAAAATTGTTTTTCTCCTAGCTCCCCTCACCCCCATCTTCTATAGAACTCTGCTCTCACCACCTAAGCATTTTGCTAACAGTAGTGCTTTTCAAGAATATAATTCCTGCAGTTGCTATGGGGCTTCTGTGGTTCAAGGGGAAGACCCTATAGGGCATGGATGGGTAAAGAAGGAAGTGAAATCAAGAGAAAGTGAACAACAACCAAAACATATGTGTGTGGTTACCCAAATACGTATTTAGGCACATATGTGCATGAGTATCAACATGTAGAGATATCTACGTGTGCGCAGATTATCTATAGGCATATGCATATAGCTATAGGCATATACCACTACAGGTATGTGTGTACTTGCATGTATGTCCATATATATAATAACCACAGAGGGGACACAGTTACAGATACTTCTTAGATATAACCAAACACCTCGGGAGACTGGTTTTCAGGGTTTAAAGGCTTAGGACCATAGTATCATGGCACAACTCAGACAACTGGCCTGATACAGTTCACAGATTTTGTGTTGTAGTGTCTGGGGTCTTCAAAGCTTGCAAGAGGCCATCCAAGATACAATTATTGGTCTCTATTTGTCTGGAACAAAAAAGAAAGAAGGAAACCAAAGACTCAGAGAAGAGAGCAGTCTACAGGACTAATAGTCTACATGAACTATGGTCTCATTTACCCTGAGACCAGAAGAACTAGATGGTGCCTGGCTACCACTACCAACCATTCAGATCAGGGCCACAAT